CCACCGTGGCACTGGGCACCCGCTCGGCGCGCGCCAGGCGCGGGGGGTTGAAGTCGGGCTCATTGAAGGGGGGCCCCAGGTAGTTCAGCTGGAAGGGAACGGGGGGCGTCGGGCATCGGGGGTGGTGTGGTGCTGGGGTCGTCCCCCTTGTCCCATCTCCGTGCACTCCCGCCTGCCATGTCCCAAGTCCCCGGGATCACCATGTCCCAGACGCCCACACCCTGCGGGTGCACACACCCAGCATGGCCCAGGTCTCCATGTCCCCCCCATCCCGGGTTTCACTGTCGCCCAGGTAGACACGCCCACTGTGCCCCTTTCCCTTTCATGGCCTCGGTCTCCGTGTTCACCCTGTCCTCAGCCTCCATGTCCCCCAGGTCCCCATGATCACTGGGTTCCAGGTCTCCCTGTCCCCCAGGGGGATGTGCCCACCCCGCTCCCAGTCTCCATGTCCACTTTTTCCCAGGCCTCCGTGTCCCCCTGCACACCATGTCCCTGTCTCCATGTTTCCATGACCCCCGGGCTGACACACCCAGCATGTCCCAAGTCTCCCTGTCCCCCTCTTTGCAAGTCTCTGTGTCCCTCTGCACACCATGTCCCCAATCTCCTTGTCCCTCTGCCCATGTCCCATGTCCCCCAGGTGGACGTGTCCACCACGTCCCCATTTTCCATGTCCCCCCATCCCAGTTCTCAGTGTCCCAAGTCTGTATTTGTCCACCACATCCGAGGTCTCCACATCCCCCGGACAGACATGCCCATGTCCCCACTCTCTACATTCCCCTCTTCATCACACCCCCCCATCCCACCACATCCCCGAGGGGGACATTCCCACCACATCCCAGGCAGTGACGTTGTCACCACTTGGCACCCAACGTACCGGCACCACCGAGGGCACGTCGGGGCAGGGACTGGGAACCTCCGCGTGAGTCGGCAATGCCGGCGGGGAGGGAGAGGCCGATGCTCACACCCATGATGGAATCATGGGCCAGGGGAGGGGGCCCGGGAGCCGCCCTGCGCCCGGAGGGTGATGAGGCATTTCCGTGCCCCCTGGCGCGGGAGCGGCTCGGCACGGGG